TCTCAATGGCATTAAGCTAGAGTGGGGGTGGGCACGTGCATTGTGATGTCACAGGTTCCAGACCTGCAGCCCCTTGAGCCAGGACAAGAGGAGGCACAAGTGGGAGCAGAGGAGGGAGCCACCATGAGATGACAAGGGACCCAAGGCAGCTGGAAGATGGCAGAGCAGGTACAGGAAGCCATCCTGGACTCTTCACAGCCCAGAAGCAAAGCAACAAAAGGGCCCAGAGGGGACTTCTAGAACTCAGTGTTGGGCAGGTCAGAACTTAGAGGGATTTGAAATTGAACTACAGGAGTAGAAAATAAGGACAGAATTCCTTGACCCTTAACTCTTACCAGGGTGGAGTAGGGGGGTGGGGAGGGGGAAGAGAGAGAGAAAGAGGAAGAGAAAAAGCCCTCAGCTCACCCGCTCAACAACAGCAGAATGAGAAGCAGAGGAGCAGCAAAGACCGTGAAGGAGATCAAGTAGCTGAACCCAACATGCAGGTGGAGAGCTGTGCTAGGCAAAGTGGCCACTTGGTACAGTCCATAGCCAGTCACCCTGGAATAAATTAAATGGACACAGCTTCTCTCAGTCTTCTGGTAGCAGCAAATAAAACCAAAGGGAACATCTCTGGAGTGGGTTTTCTCAGGAATCCATCTAGAAGGAATGCGTAGAGATTTTTGCTAGATGAAGGTTTCAGAAACCCTCTCCCCATCACCTCGGGCAAGGCGGGTGGGGTGGAGCAGAACTGAGCTAATCACTCTCAAAGGGTGCTCAGATCTAGTGCTCAGATCCCACCCCTGTCAGTGATGGGCCAACCCTGGTGATCTGCAGGAGCCAGGGTGGAGGCTTCTGGGTCAGAGACCACCCCCACAGAGCCTGCATCCACAAGACCCCCACTTACAGACAACCAAAAAACATTTAGCACCACAACCAAGAAGCCCCAGCAGAGGGGAGTGGGAGCTCAGGGATGTATGGCTGCCAGCTGTGGGAGCTCAGAAGAAGGTGGGCCGACTGCAACCCTGCCATGGGGATGGTACCCCAGGACGGACATCAGCCAGGGTGGAGGCTTCTGCACCACAGCCTGCCCACAGAGGGCCTGCATTCACAGTCAAAGACAATATGAAGAAGCCCATGAGGAGGGATTTTAAAAGCCACAAGAGAAAAATTGCATGTCACATTTAGAGGTAAGCTAATGAGGCTTTCTTCAGATCTTTCAGCCTGACATTAAAACCAGGAGGACTTGGAGTAATACATACCAACCCCTAAAGATAACGAGTGACAATCAAGATTACTATATCTTGCAAGAAACTAGACTTCATAATTGAAGGTGAAATACATCCTTCCATGATAAGCAGAAATAAAAAGAATTCATAACCATTAATCGCATACTACAAAACCCACTCAGTAAAGTCCAACATGCAGAAGAAATTAAAAATAAATGCCAGAGTCAGCATGCGGATAAATGTTGCTAGAAGAATAGTCAAGGGACAGTCACTCTCGAACATAGAAATAAAACAGAATAGCATTTTTAATTTAAAAATGATCTCTCTATAGCAACACTATATGAATGGTTTAAACTCTCCCATCACAAGATATAGATTGACATAGTGGATTAAAAAAGAAGACCCAATGATGTTGTTGATAAGACTCTATAGGCAAAGACATCCAATGCAAATGGAGGCCAACAGTGAGCAAGAGTAGCTACTCTCTCAGACAAAGTAGTCAATCTAAAATTATTCAGAAGACATCAAGCAGGTCAATTCATAATGGTTGAAGGAATCATCAAACAAGAAAGAATGCGAGTGAATGTTCATGTCTCAAACATTGGGGCACCTACAGCCATAAAACCATTCTGTGTTTATATCATTATGGGCCTACATTCAAAAAAAAAAAAAGATCTCAAATAAGTCATCTAACACTACCTTTCAAATCTTACAAAATATTAAGACTCAAATAGGCCGGAGGACATTAATACTGGATAATTTTAACACACCCCTCTCACTAATGGTCAGGTCATTCAGAGGAAAACCAAGAGTCTCTAGAACAATTAAAAATAATTTTAAAATAGTATCTTTTTAAAACCATTAATCAGAAGAACTGAACAGACATCTTTTGAATACTTCATCAACAACTGAATTCACTTCTAAGTTGCTTGTGGAGCTTTCTCTTAAACAGAGCATACTTTAGGACACAAAGCAAGTCTTAGCTAATAAAAAAAAGAGATAATTCCTTGCATCCTATAAGGTCAAATGGGATTGGATTAGAAATTAATAACAAGTTAAAAACTAGAAAACATCGTAACAACTGAAGATTAAATAAGACACTTCTGTATAATGAATGGATCATAGAAGAAATCAGAGGGAAAATTTAAAAATTCTAATAAACAAATGAGAACAGAGATATGACATTAAAATCTATGAGATAGCATGAAGGCAGTTCTAAGAGTAAAGTTTATATCATTCTGTGCCTACATTAAAAAAATAAAGATATCAAATAAGCCATCTGACACTACCCTTCAAGGTGTTAGAAAAGGAAGACCAAGTTAGTGCCCAAATCAGTAGAATACAGAAAATATTTTAGAGCCAAAATTAGTGAAATTGAGAATAAAAATATGGAGATTCATGAAAAAAAAAAGAGTTGGCTCTTTAAAAAGATAAACAGGATTTATAAGCCCTTACAAAAACTAACCAAAAGAGAGAGAAGACTTAAATTATTAAAAGAAGAGATGAGAAAGGAAATATCACCAATGACTCTTCTGATATCTGGGAGTTCTTTAGGAATGGTTTTGAAAATTTACACTCCAATAAACTGGAAAACCTAGAAAATACTTTTAAATTCCTAGACAAATGTGACCTACCCAAAACAAACGAAGAAAATGAAGAAAACCTAAACAGAACAATATCAAGCAATTACATTGAAATAAAATCTGACCAAAAATTTTTTTTTTCAGGACCAGAGGGATTATCAGCCAACTTTACCAGATTTATAAAGAAGAAATTATGTTAATCTCCCATAAATTAGTCCATGAAATAGAAAGAGAGGATTTAACACTCTCAAATTCATGGTATGAAGCCCTTTCACCTGATGCCTAAACCAAACAAAGACAACAAGGAGAGAAAACCTCAGAACAATATCCCTTATTAACAGAATGTCCTTAATAAAATATATCCCTGATGCCAAAATCCTAAACACAACATTAGCAACCTGTGTTCAAAAACACATTAATAGGGGCTGATGTTGTGGCTCAGTGGCAGAGCATTTGCCTCGCATGTATGAGGCACTGGGTTCGATCCTCAGCACCACAAAAAAATAAATAAAGGTATTAAAAAATTTAAAAATCACATTAGGAGGACCATACCATATAGACAAGATGCTTGTATCTCAGGGATGCAAGTTGGTTCAATATACACAAATCAGCAAATGTAATTCAGCACATAAATAGAATTAAAAACAGGAAGGGAATGAACATCTCAATATGGGCAGAAAAAAGCCTTGAACAAAATCCAGCAACTGTTCATATTAAAAACACCAAGAAACTAGTGTTAGAAGGAACTCACCTCAACTGCATGAAGGCTATTGTGACAAATCCAAGATCAACATCATACAAAAATGAAGAAAAACTGAAACATTTTCTCTAAAATCAAGAATAAGAAACTTTTTACCACTCCTATTCCATATAATTCTTGAAGTTCTATGCAGAGAAAATATCAAGAGAAGGAAATTAAAAGGAGACAAACAGGAAAAAAGAAGTAAAATGATCTGTGGACTGATGACATGATCCTATATGCAGGGACCCCAAAATTTCACAAGAAGATTTCTAAGGCTGATAAACAATTGCAGCAAAGTAGCAGGATTCAAGATCAATGTAAAACAACGTTAAGAAATCAATACCTTTCTTATACTCTAATAATGATTGTGCCAATAAAGAAATAAGGAAAATTATTTTGCTCACAATAACCTCAAAAAAAATTTTTTTTTAAATACTTGGAAGTGAATCTAAGGAGGTGAGCAATCTCTACAATGAAAACTACTGAACACTGAATTGAAGACATTAAAAGGTGAAAAATCTCACCTGTTCATGGACAGGCAGACTTAACACTGTTAAAATGGCCATACCATCAAAAGTGATACACAGGTTCAATACCATCCCACTAAAATACCAACGACATTCTTCACAGAACGAGAAAAGTCCTAAAATTCATATGAAAGAGTAAGAGACCCGGAATAGCCAACACAATTCTGACCTAGAAGAGTGACACTGGTGGCATCACAATTCCTGACTTCACGTTGTACTACAGACCTACAGTAACCAAAACTGCACAGTATTGGCATTAAAACATACTCGAAGACCAATGGAATAGAGGCACAGAGACAAGCCCACATAGTTCCTGACATTTGATACTTGACAAAGGTGCCAAGTACATATGCCAGAGAAAAGATTGTTTTTTAAGCAATAGGGCTGGAAAAACTAGATATCCACATGTAGAAGAATAAAACTC